TATGAAGCTCTTCTGTAAACATACCATGGCTTTTCCAACAAGATATGATAATTATTCATGGAAATCACATCATACCATATTGCATCCTCATACCATCCAATAGAAAATAGTAAAAACACTCTTTTATCTACCTTTACTCCTCTCAACATGTAGGGTTCAATATGCTCAACACAATGCAAGTTTAATTTCTCAACCAAACTCTTGGGATGTCGACAAACTCTTGGGATCTCAACCAAACTATAAGTGCTAATTGAGTTATAACCAAACTCTTTGTCAATTCTAAGGCACAAATTGCGGACATCACTTTAGCTCTTGTTTGAAAAATAACTTTACCATTGTCTTCCTTCCATTCGGTCTACTGTAAGTTCGACTTTTCAAGTTGTTGAGTCATAGCTCGCCTCCTTTCATAATAACTACCTTTTTGAAACATCTTAAACAAAGATTAGAAGAATTATGTATCTCTCAAATTTGGCTTTTTCCTTCTAATATTCTAACCTCTCTTGCCTTTTTCCACTCAATGCAACTCTCGGTCGTTAATCTTTAGATTTATTAATAAACCTTACTAGTCACAACCCTTAGTGATAAGAATATGGAGTTAGAAAAAAAAAAAAAAAGTGAATGACCAAACCTAGGAAGAATAGGAATTGGTTAGTAGAAAAAAAAGGAAAGAATTTTAGGAAACCCAAAACCCACAAGAATAAGGAAAGAAGTTTCCTTAATCTTCAAGAACAAGGATCCCCTCTTCTTGTTTCCTTTCTTGACTTGGAAACCAAATAATACTTGAATTCTAAAAATAATAATGAGCAATAACACTTTTTTTTGGGCTGATTTTCATTTTTTTGTTGCTCAAGAACCTCCCAAGATTATCAAGATTGAAATCTTGATTAGCCTATGCTCTGATACCACTTGATAACAACACAATAGGGGATTCAAAAATTACTAAAGAAAAACAAGAAAATCAAGAAACTTGCGGAAGCTAAAAGAAAGTAGAGAAACAAAAAAAATGACAGAAAATTAAAGACATGTTGAATTCAGGAAAGAGTTTCTTAAATTCAAGAATTCTATTCTTGAAGTTGAATCCTAACAACAACAATTAGCTAACAAAGAACTAGTCACCTTTGATAGAGAATTAAAAACAAGAGATAGATTGTAAAACCCGACCCTTTAGAATAACAAGAACAACAATAAGCCTAAACGTGTCACCTTTATTGAATACCTAGAAGTGATCTAAGATTTCGAAAGAGTTTAATCTTACCACCTTACGTTGAGTCTTGAAGGTTGAAGAATAAATCCAAGAGTAGCCACACATAAGAGTGCAAGAAAAATCACAATTTTTATTGATAATAATCTCAATAATCTAAGTCTAAAAACAAAGAATACACCCCTTTATATAGAGAGGGGTCACGAAATTCTACCTAAAAAACAAGTAAATAAAGTCCTAAACTACTTTGGACAACAAGTCCAACTACCTTAGGAAAAGAAAAATACTAGGAAGCAAAAACCAAGTCATTCTTGGAATGTAATTCCAAAAATCTTAGTAAAAGAAAAACATAACCTTAAATAACTAGGAAATCAATAAATATATTCCCATAATATATGGAAATAAGTCCCAAACCAATCTTGGATAGAATCTTGAAGGAAATTTGCAAGCAACTTGGTACCAACTTGCACTCAACATCTAGCACGACTATTGTACCATTCTTGGACATCAAGTAAGTAATTTGTACATGCTATAAAAATGTGGCTTTATGTAGCACTTCATGGCCTGCAAGTTTGGACACATTTTAGGTGCTAAATTGGTCCAACAGTGGCCTGATTTGAACCTTCTTCAGAGGATATTTCTTGGGATCTAATCCACCTCTTACTAGACATGAATTTGGGCCATAAAATAATTATAACACCTAGATAACTCATATCCTGTATCCTTAAGCTCTTCCTCCCAACTAACAACTTCTTTGATCGTTCCTGAAGTCCAATGACCTTGTTTTGCAACTTTTTAGCTTGAGATCTTGTTAAAGGCCCTCTTTGAGATTCCAAAGCTTCATCCTTGTCCTTGGATAGATTTGAGATTCCTAGTATGCTATCATAGTCAATGGTACTCAGACCGAGTACTTCAAACCCAGTAGAGGCATTAGGTAGAGGATCCTATGCCGCCCTACCTGTTCATCATATGCATGGAAAGGCTATCTAGGGATATTGACAATGCTGTATCTGAGAAGGATTGGTGTCCTATCAATATCAGTAGGGGAGGGACTAGAATCTCCCACCTATTCTTTGCTGATGACCTCATTATGTTTGCTAGAGCCAATAAAAGTAACTATGAGTCAATCTTAGCCATTCTGGGCAGCTTCAATGCTGCATTTGGGCAGAAAGTCAACCACCAGAAATCCAAAGTGATCTTTTTCTCTAATTTCCAAGCAGAGTGTGCCACAACATGTAGTGCCATTCTAGGTATCAAAGGTGCAAAAGACTTTGGGAAATACCTTGGGTTCCCCATCTTCACTAAAAGGCCTAGGAACAGTGACTTCCAGTTCATCATAGATAACCTTAATAGTAGAATGACAGGATGGAAAACAAATTCCTGAACATGGCTGGTCGAGCCACTCTGGCTAAGGCATGCCTTAGAAGCATCCCTAACCATGTCATGCAATACATCAAGCTACCCTTCCAAATAACCAACTAAATTGACAAAATCCAAAGGAATTTCGTTTGGGGTACTACCCCAATGAAAAGAAAGTTATACATGATCAAGTGGGCCACTGTCACCAAACCAAATAACAAAGGAGGGCTGGGTCTCCAACAGTCCCACTTAAAGAACAAAACATGCCACTCCAGTCTTGCTTGGAGACTCTACAACATCACTACCTCCATCTGGGCTAGAGTGATCATGGGCAAGCACTGCAATGGAGGAGGGAGTAGGGTTAAGCCTAAAACTAGAAGCTGGAAAATATCCAGGAGGGATGGAAGGTTTGCACTAATTGCACTAGATGGGTGGTTCACGAAGGGGATAGGGTTAGATTTCTCACTGACCCATGGATGCCCAAATGCAGCCTCTGGATACAATCCTTAATGGTCCATGGAACCATAGAGACATGAACACCAAGATTAATGAGGTGTTCTCCAATGGGATTTGGGATTTTAGCTGCATTCCCTACCCAATCCCACTTGATACCACCGTGATAATACAAAATACCTTCATCCCCACCTCCACCTCTGTTGAGGACAAACTAATCTGGAACCTTAACCCCAATGGCACGTTTAGTACCAAATCAGTCTACTCTTATCTTGATGCACTTATGCATGATGACAATTCTAATGAAGACCTCTTCAGCTGGATTTGGAAACTAAAGACCCCTAATAAGATCAAGTTCTTCATATGGCTCATGCAACAAAACAGGCTGCCTATAGGGAATCACTTACACCACATTGGCCTGAGAATTACCCCTAATTGCTCCTTCTGTGATCATGCAGTAGAAGACATGAACCACATCTTCTTTGAATGTGCCAATACCAAACAATTCTAGCAGCATTTGCTACACAACTGTACTCAGCAGCCTAGCCTTAGTGCAAATCTATTTTGTATGCACAACTGGGAAAACACATGGCATAGGCTCCAAAGTGTGGACTATAATGCTTGCATCAAATGGAAACAACTACTACCCTTCTGCCTCTGGGGAGTCTGGCTAACCAGGAACCCTAATGTCTTTGAAAAGAGGAAGAACCACATTAATGTTCACCAAACAATAGCTAAGGCTGTTATATACCACCATGTAGCATCCACTTCAAGGACTGCTCCGGCAACAACCACCTTATACCTATAGTGGCGCCCACCAGATATAGGCTTTTATAAGCTGAACATTGATGGGGTTGCATGCCTTAACACATGGAAATGGGGTATATAGGGGTATTTAGAAACAACATGGGTGACTGGATCTTTGGCTTCATGAGGGGTCTCTCAAACACTGATAGTCTTAGGGCAAAGCTTCAAGCCCTATGGTCGGGGCTAAAAATAGCCCTAGACCAAGGCTTGACACCTCTGGTGATTGACACCGACTCTGAAATGGTGTTGGAAATGTTAAAAAATGGCAACTTAACTCACAACCCCATAATTTCTGAATGCAGGTATCTGATGGAGCAGTTGGGGAACCCAGTCATATGACATAGCTACAGGGACCAGAACCAAGTGGCGGACCTCCTCGCAAAGGAAGGAGCTAGGAAGGAAGTTTTTGACAAGACCCAGTTTTTGGCAGTTCCTCCGGTGTTTGCTAACCAAGGATTGTGGGTAGACATCTCAGGAACTGTTTTTGAAAGAAAAGTAAATGTTTGTAATATGGCAACTTTGGTAGACACCGGTAACAATTAACAAGGTATCTGGTTGACCCAAAAAAAGAATAGAGATACAACATGAAGCGGGTGAACTCTATGTTTCAAATTCTTTGAGAAGAAGAATTTCAAATTATCCTTAACTTTTTAACTATGATTTATAATTACCTTCAGTCAGCTTCAAGAGTAAGAAATGAGACTTTCCTAATTGCGAGATAATATTAAATAAAAAATTTAATGGATCACAAAATTGCTAAATTTCGCATATTATAACATAGGGGCAATATAACCTAATCAATTCGTGAACTTATCTTTTTTTTTTTTAATATAATATAGAATTTACCATTTAACCATAATAGTTAATTCTTTAGTTCTATAAGTATTCTCATTTCATTCCCGTTTAGCCATAAAATGTGAGAGTTTTTTTCTTCAAATTTATATTTAAATATCTGTTTGTTTATAGATTTTAACTATTTTCTGGTAGAATTTGAAAATAAAATTGTCAAATCCCAAAAATATCTCTAAAGTAATTTTTAAAATTTTTGAAGTTTTTTACTCTCAAAATTTTATACTATATTCTTTTTAAGTAAATGCATGTCCAAACATAATTTTAATTTTAAAATAAAATATTTTTGATCTCATATTCAAAAATTTAATTTTTTCACAATTTCAACCAAATTTATGTGCAGGTAAGAATCTTTTTCCTCGAGTCATCACTGAGAAGAAGAGGCAACATAGACGTGAAAACGATTGAATCAAAGGAAGGAAAGTTCAAAGTTGAATAATAAGAAGCACCTCTGAGCAGAGAGCAATTTTCCACCTTCTTCTTCATCATCGATGGCGTCAGTAGGAGGAAGTGCGGCGGCGCCTCCACCTCCGCTGCTGCCTAAGGAATCTTTTTTCCGGCGCTACAAGTTCCTTTGGCCTATGATCTTGGCTGTCAATTTGTCTGTTGGAGGTTCCTATCTGACTCCCTTGCTTTATTAAAACTGTGTATACATGTCCTGTATTCAATCTCCTACCTTTGATCCTTGCTTGAATATACAGTTGCGTGCTCTTTGACTTTCAACTAGCGCCCAGTTTTGTGGATTTTTTGATGTAAGCAGGATAGATCCTTAATGTTAGGTCAATTGGTGCATAGGGCTATCGTATGTTCAATTACTACCATTTTGTGATGGTGCGAATTTAGGGTGTGTGTGTGTGTAAAATTTCTCATCTAAAATACTCGGTTCAAGCTGAGGGTAGTGGGGGCTTCCAAATACTAAACCTGCTTCCCTAAATGCTAGGTCCCCTCTGTGATACGAGACAAGGAATACAACTCTCGTCCTTGAATTTACTCATCGCTTTCCTGGTATTAGTTGTCTGAATTGGTAAATTTTCTTCCCAGTTTTAGTTTTTCTTTTGTTTTAGCTGATAGAGTTCTCTTCCTTTTTCATTTGAATGTTTTGTGATTGTTTCAGCTTTAACTGAAAGCTTAAATGGGGTCCTGGTGGTATTGACAATGTTATGACATGGATGTCTACTGCTTCATAGGTTGTTTGTGGTGGGCATAGTATTGCCGTCTTTAAAATTTGATTGCTGTCGGATAGAGGCCTACTCTGATAGAATTTGACATTTATATAAACTAGTGGATCCACTCTTTTGTTTTCACTCCTCCAGTCTACCATTTGCTCCCCGTAACAAAAAAAACACAGATTGTACTGAAATGAGAAACTCAGAGCTTTTCACTTGATAAATTTTCTAATCAAAGCCACATTGTACTTTAGAAAGAGAAAAGAATGTGAAATCTTGTATACACTTTTACTTGGTGGTTCAATTGGTGATTGTATTCAAGTTGGAAATGTGGAGAACTGGATAGCCTTCTATTTAGATCTTATCTAGTGGCTTCTAGTCCTTCTGCACTATATGCTTCGGTCTATATTTTCGGTGTCTCAATTGGTTCAGTTCCGACATCAAGAGATCATAGTATATCTAACTCATACTCTGAGTGGTGGACAGTCTTTATTCTGTATTGTGCTTTGCTGCAAGTAGATTCTCTTTGTCTTTCACTATTTCTTTAGCAAAAATTTGTGCTGTAAGGGATATGACTCTGACGGAGAAGTAGCAAACACTTTATATATGTAATGAGCATATTCACTTTCTGAGAAGTGAATTGTTTTGTTTGGTTACAACAAGTCAGAAGATTGGCTTTGTTACTTCTCATATCTTAGTTCAATGTCACGTGTTATCTTCTGGAAAGATGTGTGACTCTGATGATAAGTTAACCTGTACTCTTTTGTCGCTCGTGCATTCTTTACATTCTTTGGAGCTGTGCTGCAGTGTCTTTCCAATTCTAATTCGATAACTCATCTTGCTTTTACATTCACGGCACATTAACATACACTTTTTTTTTGTAATTTGTGTAGCTTATCTTGTCTTGAGGACCAAAAAGAAAGATGTGGGAACTGATGCAGGAGAAGTGTCTGATAGTCCTAGTAATTCAGTTTCATCATCAGCTGCTATTACTGCAGCACCTCCTGTGCAGCCTGCTATTGTTCGTGAACCAATTTCAGGAGAACAACAGCGTGAAATATTTAAGTGGATATTGGAAGAAAAGAGAAAACTTAAGCCAAAAGATCCGGAGGAGAAAAGGCGCATTGATGATGAGAAAGCCATTCTCAAGCAGTTTATTCGAGCTAAGTCCATTCCAAGCCTGTAAAGACTTGATTGAGGTTGGATTTTCCCCTTTTTGTTTTTACTGCAAAGACGGCGCTGAAGAATCAGTTTGCTTGGATATGAGTAGACATAGGATGTATCTGAATCTGTGGCTTTTGTAAGAAATCTGTAAATAGAGGTGCTTTCTTCTTTACATTTGAAATACGAATCGAATATAGCACAAGTGTGAGTAAATTTTAATATCATAATCATTTCTACTCTATATTGTATTGTTCCATTCATTGAATGTTGCTCCAGAGAAGGACATGGTGAAACATAAGATAGTAGTCAACTTTCTTTTGACATGTGAAAGCTTGTTCTAAACCATGGAAATATTACGGTGTTATCATATTATGTCTCTCCAAGTAAAACTGAAATGAAAATGGCTTTAAAACACCAACATTTGAGCTAGCTGAGACTAGTATCAATAGTTTTCTCTGGATCCAATATACTTATATGCAGTATAATGCCATTGGTTGAGCCAAAGCCTGTTCTCTTCAGCTATGGTTTGATTAGCTCTTGGTGCTCTTAGGACATGCTCAGTTGGGGAAAAATTGACCTACACTCAGTGTTTGTACTAATTTAATGAATATATTATTTTGTGTATTTTGTATAAACTATGATCTTCCCAAGGTTTAATTATTGCATGTCACTTGAACTCTGAATCTAGTTTGGTGTAAATACTGGATTTAGGTCTCTGCTAAATTCTCGTCCTTGCGTTTACGTCTACCCTGTCCTTCATGCCCTTCCATCAACTACAATAATCTCAAGTAATCTATTCTATTCGTAAACTGTAGAATATTTAAAGAACTTTGTGTTGTAAATGAAGTGCTGTTTGCGACCTTGCTATTGTGAGATGGAAATTACAGAACTAAAGTAAATTAGATACTTTTGACAAATAAAGAAAATGGTCAAAGTTGAATAGGAGAGTTTTTAAACCTCTGTAAATGAAAGTTAAACTTGTTTATGGTGCATAGTGAGCATGATTGCACTTGTATCTTCTGAAAAGAAGTGAACTTTCACTATAAGTTCTTGAGTGTAACTTTTATATTGAATGGTGCTAAGAAACAATGAAGAATTTTGGCACAGGTAACTAAGTGATACATTTAGGACCAGCAAGAAAGCCGGTGGCCTGAGATAGTACTCCCTCAGGTTCAAAAAGAGAGTCCACTAAGCCATTTGCACACCCCTTTAGAAAATACTAACTCCTAGATAAAAATAGATAATTTGACTAAGCTATCCCTAATTAATATTTATTGGGATTTGGTCACTTAACACTTAATAAGGGCAAATCTGAAAAAATAAGGTTAATTCTTTCTTGATTTTGTAGGGGGACACTCTTTCTGAACCAAGAAAAAAGAGCTAAGTGGACACTCTTTTTGAACCGGAGGGAGTATATAGCAATTGGGACGCGAGAACTTTTTCTTGTAAGCTTGGCATTTGTACAAATGTAAGTTTGTTGTCTCAAAACAATGACAGAAGAGTGAGGATAGCTCTACTGGTAGAACAACTGCTCCACTTTTGACCATAAGGTTTGGTTCTGGTTTGAGTCACAAAGGAAGAAAAAGCAGTGACCACTGTTGATCCTAGTGAAGGTGCCTATGGTGGACTAAGCGGAACTGCAAACATTAGGGAGAATCCAATGCCTCAAAAACCTAACGTTTCTTTGAGATATGACAGAAATAGACAGGTCTCAATAAAAAACTTTACACTAATATGCCTCACTTCTATACAGTGGCTTGATCTGCTGATAAAGCAGCAAATATATCTTTGTTCACAAGAGTCGGTACCAAGTAAATTATAGACGACCTGAAAATGCAGTCCTATGATTATCCCTGTCCCAAATAATAGAGGGGCTCCTTTTGTCAAATGAGCTTTGGACTTAATCCCTCCAATCCATCGTTTAGTATGGAGCCACTGTACCTCTCATACTGCGCGTAGTGATCAGACAAAATCCTTCCACTTTGGCTTCCCACATCATACCTAGGTGTTGTAGACAGTTGACCAGATTCCATAATCAGGTCACCTTCAAGAATCCTAAGTACCTAACACAAAAACAAAAATACATGAGAATCCAGACATAGTTGACTCACATTTTGCAGCAAAATTATAACACTTAACTTACCTGAGACATGCGAGGTCTAGCCTGAGGATCTCGTCGTATGCACAAAGATGCAGCATGCAACATGCAATACACCTCGTGCTCTGTGTAGCTGCTTCCTAGTCGGGGATCTATTAGCTCATCGATTGCACATTCTTCCAACAATGGACGTGCCTGAAAATAATTGAATGAAAAAATCACGGATTTTTTTAAGGGAAAAAGAGACGAGGCACCTGCATATATAGCCGTACTATTCCTCAAACCAGAACTGAAAGATGCATAATAAGGTGTTGAAGTATACCCATTCTGTGAGACACTGCTGGCCCTTAGGCCTGGTAATATCCACTGCTTTTCGACCAGTTACAATCTCTACGAGCACCACTCCAAGTGAGTAAACATCAGCTTTTTCAGTAATCTGGCCACTTTGAGTATACTCCGGAGCCAAGTACCTAATAACAGAAAATAAGTTTAATGTTTCTGCAATTGCATATTAAAAAAAAAGGGGCAGCCTGGTGCAGTAAGCTCCCGCTATGCATAGCGGGGGGTGGGGGATGGGCCGGACCCCAAGGATCTATGGTATGCAGCCTTACCCTACATTTCTGCAAGAGGCTGTTTTCACAGCTCGAAGCCGTGACCTCCTGGTCACATGGCAGCAACTTTACCAATTACGCCAATGTTCCCCTTCCAATTGCATATTAAAAGTACAATATAAATAATTTTTCAAGGCCTAACCCAAACGTTCCGAGTACTCTCGTTTCAACACCTGCATCACCATCTGGTTGCCATCTAGCCAAACCAAAATCTCCGACCTAGAAACAAAGGTGTAGCAAGATTTATACAGTTCAACTGCTGCTTCGACAAAATGTAGACATCAAAATCACTGTAATGCAACAAAAGCAACTCATTTTTAAGCTTCAAAAGCAATCAAGTATCATATTTGCAAGAAACAAGTGAAAACAAAAATGATATGTCGACAAGAGGATGATAAGCAAAGGATGCAAGTGAGAATACTCTAGTAGTCAAAAGTCAAGGAGATAGCTTTCAAAATTGTATTGCCTATTATAAAGACTACTTGCCCATTTTATCCACTCATTTCATTTTGTCTCACCAAAGAGGTCCACAATACAATTGCTTGTTAGAGTTCGAAAACCGCACGCATTAAAGGGCAGCCCGGTGCACTAAGCTCCCGCTATGCGCAGGGTCCGGGGAAGGGGCCGGACCACAAGGATCTATTGTACGCAGCCTTACCCTGCATTTCTGCAAGAGGCTGTTTCCATGGCTCGAACCCGTGATCTCTTGGATTGAGTTTAAGAAATTGTCATAGGACATTTGATGCTAACAAAGTTGATTTCATCTCAAAGGTGTTGCTTCTTTCGTTGTTTTCGTCTTCCAATCAGTCGCTTGAAAAACAATGGAGAAGCTCTAGGAATATGTTTGTTTGTTATAGTACATCTATATCAATTGAGCTTGGAGAGATTAGAATATATACTTCATGAGACCATCTATATCAAGGATACAACTAAAAGAAATGCTTCAGAGTAAGAGATTTTCCATACTAGTGGTTCAAAGTCATGTGTGATGAGAATGTTGTTGGGTCGCATGTCCCGGTGGACAATGCAGCCCACTCTGCACTCTTCATGAAGATATCGCAAACCACGTGCAGCTCCAACTGCAATCTTTTGACGTGCAGACCACTCCAAAGGTTCCCTATTATGTCCTGTAAATACCAGAAAGTGATGTTAAGTAATACATAAAGGCAAAAAGACCAATCTTAAGGTCAATAGAACAAACCATTAACAACCCTTTTTATGAATCTTTTTGTGTCTGTAACTTTTATTTGGTGCAAGTTCTACTTCTTATATCACCAAATAATAAGTACATGCTCTACATATCCAAACTGTACATCTTTACTGTCACGTTAATTTCATTTAGTTCATATATCAACAGATCAAAACAACAACAACAACAAACTCAGTGAAATCTCACAAGTGGGGTCTGGGTAATGTATACGCACACCTTAAGAATGTAGGGAGGCTGTTTCCGAAAGACCCTCGGCTCAAGAACAGTGAAAATGAAGCATATATCAACAGATCAACAAAGAAAAATTATATTGAGAAAAAATATGACAGGTTTTCTTATATTAGTGCAAGCACATATCTATATCAGCAGTAATTGGAAAGTAACCTTGCCAACGTAAAAGAAGTCCATTATTAACTGAAGCAAAATCAGCACACTCACCAGTGTATAAAGAAACATGAGTACACATACCATATAGATGATAATCTAAAGAACCATTGCATATATATTCATATACTAGCAATCTTCTCCTGTCTTCGATGCAGAATCCTATCAACATGACAACATTACGGTGCTGAGCACAGCTGAGCACTTCAACTTCCGAGCAAAATTCTTGATCTCCTTGAGAACTTGCCAATTTATGTTGCTTGACAGCAACAACTTGACCGTCTGGAAGGACTCCTCTGTGAACGGATCCATATCCTCCCTCGGCCAAGAAATTGGCTTGTGAAAATCCTCCTGTTGCAAGCTCCAGTTCAGTATAAGTAAACCACCTCGGAGGTTTCCCAAATACAGGCGCCTTGTGTTGACATATTGAACACAAGGGAGGAGCGCCAAGAGGTGCACTTCTGGTTAATGGACTCGGTGATCCACTACCACCTTCTATATCAAGCTTAGTTAACTTCTCCAGCAATGACTTGGTTGTCGATATCTGTAACCTGTCAAAAGATCTAAATGAGCTATTTACCGGGCGTTGAGAGAGTTGACTATGTGAATTGACACTGTCCACTATCGACGGTTGGAATCTTGAACTTGAAGAAGATAGACTTTCACTCTCACTCTCTGAACTTGAATCATCTACATCTTGATCTTCCTTTAAGGCTAACAACTCTGCTTTGCGCAAATCCCTATTTACTTCAGTGACCAAAAATGGTGAAGTTCCAGGATCAGAACTTGAAACTGATGAAGTGCCGGCTTCAGTAGCACTGAACATCTCTGGACTACTTGTTGGTGTTACTAATGGACCTCTAGAAGAATCCAATGAATAATTATTATCTACTTCTTTTCCGCATGATTCAGCTTGCTCTGAAGGTAATGAGCCCGCGACATCAGGTTCCTTTTTAGGTGAACCAACTAAATTTAGGCGGAGAACTTTTGGTTGAGATCGCTTCATTACTACAATATTGCACTGCAACTGCTGCATACAGCATTTCTTCTCATATTTAAGATGTCTGGAAAAGTTGAAACATGAATCAGCAAATAGCATAGAGAATTAAAGAACATAAACAAGGAATCACACTCTTAAAACTTGTAAACTTACTTGTCCAAAACAACCCAATTAGCTTGAGTCCTCTTTGCCTCAGCAGCCACAGCTCCATGTGGTGAACCAGAAACAATTTTAATCTTCACGTTTATCTGGCAGATATGACACGGACAAAAAAAGCACCAAGTTTTTAGTATGTCAGTGTGAAAGCACCTTATAACAATGTGCACAAAATCAAGACTTTTAGCACTAACCTTAGTTGGATCATAAACATCTTGGAGCTGAAGGATCATCTGAGAGTAGGAATCTGCTAAGTCTAACGTTCGCTCAGTACTATTTCCAGAATTTGACTTTCTGTGACCATTGGCACAATCTCCAGCAAACCTGGGGAAACCCCACAGCTTTCTACCTAGAAAATGTTTGTGAAAACCACTAAAGTTATGTACATATAATCAGAACATCCAGTTGCTAGATTCTATTGTGGAAGCACAGAAACAGCAAAAACTGACAACAAGAAACACCAGGTATTTAATTGACAACAACAACAACAAACGCACTTAATCCAATCCCATAAGTGGGGTCTGCGGAGGGTAGCGTGTAGGCAGACCTTACCCCTACCTTATAAAGACAGAGAGACTGTTTCTGATACACCCTCGACTCAAGGAACAAGTATTAACATGACAAGGCATATAATAATTCAATAAAGATAGCTTAATGAAAGCCCAACAGAAACGAGCCCTGGGAATGGTAAGGATCGCTTTACCCCCGACGTCGGACTTTCCGGCACAAATCCGGATTAGTCGGGCCTTAAAGCGAGAATCGAATACCAGGTGGAAACCAAAAGAAAAGTAGATTTAGTACTTCGCAATGAGAGTGAGGGAAATGGAAATAAGTTAGAAAAATTACCAGAACTTTGTGAAGGTACAACCACAACAAGTGTAATGCAATCTCCAGGTTGAACAACATGAGTCAAAGCCCACAAAAGAGCAGTCTTAGGTATCTCTTTTGATGCCTTAACAGCCACCATAACTTTCTCAGCAACATTACAACTCTTATACTCCTGCTTCTTTTCCTTTTTCTTCACTTCCCTAGTACCCATTGCCCCAGAACAGTTTCCAAACCTTTGCCTTTAAACTTTCAAGAACAAAACTTTACATGCATTATAGCTGACATTGCAACTATTCAAGAAGAGACCCTCCAGATAAGACCCTATGTAACAACTAAAGCCTATTGAATTTCTCAAGAAACTCAAGGTATACAAATTTTAACCTTTCTTCTGGTGAGAGAAGAGGGTGTGGTCAAGATTCTGAGACAAATGAAAGTACATAAAGAAGATCACTTTGTGAATCTATGCAAAAAAGAATTCCAAATTTAGTAGCAAAACAGCACCAGCAAAAACACTTCTTTTTTTTGGAGATGTCCTAATGAATCCAAAACGACTTGACAGAAGCTGAAACTCAACTACTCAATCCAACTGTTCTTGCACATGATTTCTGAATAAATGTACAATGCAGATGACAGTGAACTACAGCCAAAAACTACTTCTTTTATTAGGCTGCTTTCAAACAGCAGAGTCAAAATTTGTGCAAAAAGCCTCAGGTGATAGCTGACCTTTTTCTTGTACAAAAATGGAATGCAAGGAAGTGAGCAATTAAGAATCCAGTTATGAAAAAAAAAACATTACTTTAATCAGTTTCCTCAGCTTCTTTCACTATTACAAAATGCAAGAATCCCAATGAAACAACTATTAAATGTCCAAATGACACAAGATTTCTGCTTTCAGTAATATCTACACAAACTTCTAGACAGTAATAAAAATTTACAGACAAAATATATATATATAGGAGCGGTTGTTTAAAAATAATAGTACAATATTATCATCAAACAGAACAGTTCAAAATAAGAGGGATGTTGTTGTTTAAAAAATACTAGTACCTCTGCAGTCGAACGGACGGGTCGAATCGAATATAAGTGGCTCCGTGTAATGTCGTTTGACTTTAGGCATGAAATTTAAGAAAAAAGATTTGGCATGTACTAAAAGAACTCATAGAAATTGTAGTATTAAATACAAACTAGACTTTTTATAACTATAATAACATGTCATCAAGGTAAAATAAGAAATTTAAAATTAAAAAGTCTTTATATATAGCCAAACCTTTTTATAATAATTGTCCTTTCTTTGAAATCTATTTTCTTGTCAAATTTTACTTCTCTGTAATAATTTTTTACCTATAGCCTAACATCAACTTTTATAATGGTATACTCTATAAAATAGGATATTTTCACTTTTAGCCAGCGTGAGAAACTATTTACATTATGTAACCGAAAAAGTGTATAAAACTTGTATAATTGTTATATATAACATACAGAACACATATATGTATACAAATAATATAGAAAAAATATATATTTTTTCGGCTGCCATTTTGAGAGCTTATACATCAAATATGTATATTTTATTTTATACTAATATAATAAAAAGATAATTTATTAAATCTACACATCTCTATCATTCTTATCTTGTTGTTTGCTCTACTTTCACGTCAAACATACATTTATTTCAAAAACTTGTACGGTTGCCTGCTAAGGCAGGGACCTCAGAGAGCAGAACAAGGAAACAAGCATTAAACTATAAAAGATTTCGAAACTTCAAATTTGAACAACCTCAACTACTCAATCTTAAAATGGACAGAGGTTGGCGGAGTCCGGAACCTAAATGCCTTCTTTTGGACTCAAAACACGTTTTTAAGTGTAAAAAAAAGTTACATTTCTATATAAAATGCGGTTATAAATCGCGTTTTATATAGAACGCAGTAACAAACCGCGATTTAGTGGCAGCTGAAAAGACAAGTATATAAAACGCGGTCCATTACCACGTTTAATATAAAACGCGGTAATGAATCGCGTTTTGTAATCAAAGTTGGTCCCACAAAAACTAATCAAAGTTGGTCCACATCCTAGCCAAACCTTCTATTGTTGTGGGTTGCTTGTTTCGGAGTCAAAATTTCAAATCTTCAACTTTCCGAAAAACATAAATCGAGGTATTCCGATTTAGTTTATGTCCAAACTCATATAAATAATGCATATTAGTTGTTTTGAATGTGTTGTATGTTGTTTTGTGTTTTTTTTTTTTTTTTGCGATTAAATTGGACGTTGTTTTTATCCGGACTAAGATATTAATGTTGTAAAAAAATATGTAAAAATTGTGAAATTGTTATTATTTGTTAATAAAAATGTTAATAAATTATTATTACTGTTTTATATGTATTTTTGTGATTACAATGTATTTGTTGTGTTTTATCTGGTTTAAATTATTTTTTTGCTTAAAGACTAGTAAATCGGAGTGCCTTTTAGGGTAATAAAATGTAATGCCTTTTAGCGTAGTAAAATGTAGTGCCTTTTAGCGTAGTATAATGTAGTGCCTTTTAGCGTAGTAAAATGTAGTGCCTTTTAGCGTAGTTTCCCTGTAGTTTAAGTATCTCTTATACCTAAAAATACGTCAAAATAANCGTCCCCCCCCCCCCTTAAAATGATAAAAAATTGGAGTGGACCCCAGCCATCCCACAAAAGCTAATCAAAGTTGGTCCCACATCCTAGTCAAGCCTTCTATTGTTGTGGTTGCTTGTTTCGGAGTCAAAATTTCAAATCTTCAACTTTCCGAAAAATATAAATGGAGGTATTCCGATTTAGTTTATGTCCAAACTCGTATAAATAATGCATATTAGTTGTTTTGAATGTGTTGTATGTTGTTTTGTATTTTTTTTTTTTTTTGCGATTAAATTGGTATGTTATTTTTATCCGGACTAAGATACTATGTTGTAAAAAGAATATAAAAATTGTGAAATCGTTATTATTTGTTAATAAAAATGTTAATAAATTACTATTACTATTTTATATGTTTTTTTGTGATTACAATGTATTTGTTATGTTTTATCTGGTTTAAATTATTTTTTTACTTAAAGACTAGTAAATCGGAATGCCTTTTAGGGTAGTAAAATATAATGCCTTTTAGCGTAGTAAAATATAGTGCCTTTTAGCGTAGTAAAATGTAGTGCCTTTTAGCGTAGTTTCCTTGTAGTTTAAGTATCTCTTACACTCAAAAATACGTCAAAATAACTAATAGATCAAACACAAACTCCGTCCTACTATAGTCAACATATATTTGGTGTTATTGGACCGCAAATATCGAGCCTGGAACCCATATATGAATATTTAATAATTAAATATTATATAATTGTAAAAGTTAATTATTTAATTTACAAACAAAAATATAAAATTATAAAACTAACATATAAAATAATAAAACTAACAAATAGAAGAATTCAGATAAATTAGTGTTACTGGGCTCCAAATATCGAGTCTAGAACCCATTTGTGAATATTTAATTATAAAAATTAATTATTTAATTTACAAACAAACATATAAAATTATAATAAAACTAACACATACAAGAATTCAGGATCAATTGGCGCTACCGGGCTCCAAATATTGAGCCTGAAACCCATATGTGAATATTTAATTATAAAAATTTATAATTTAATTTACAAACTAACTTATAAAATTATAAAACTAACACATAGAAGAATTCAGGATAAATTGGTGCTACTGGGCTCCAAATATGGAGCCTGGAACCCATATGTGAATATTTAATTATAAAAATTTATTATTTAATTTACAAACTAACATATAAAATTATACTAAAACTAACTCATACAAGAATTCAGGATAAATTGGTGCTACTAGGCTCCAAATATCGAGCCTGGAACCCATATGTGAATATTTAATTATAAAATTTTAAAATTATTTAATTCACAAACAAACATATAAAATTATAAAACTAACATGTAATTAATGTTGTTTAATTTACAGTAGACGACATGGAGGCGCCGCCTATTCATCCCGGACCTTTTAGCGATGAGCTACTCTCGTTACAGGGCGACCATAGGTCAGCCCACATATGGGAGGGTGAGTTATTGACCCAGACTCTCCGTGCCAGGAGAGTGGACGACATGTGGGTCTTTCTGCATGACAGAGTTCTCCATGCCCGTGTAGTCGCGCGCCTGTGGTACACTGGTTTCCACAGGATGATTGAGATCGGGCGGCTGCAGCTCGATTGGTCTTTGATCACGGCCCTGATAGAGCGGTAGAGACCGGAGACACACACTTTCCACCTGCCCATTGGCGAGGCCACCGTCACACTGCAGGATGTGGAGATTTTATATGGGCTGCCCATTGATGGACACCCCGTTTCTCTGCCGCCTCGCATGAGAGAGATGACACGTGTGCAATACCTAGACATGCTGCAGCAGCTCACTGCTTTCCGGCCAGAGGATGAGACTGTACTGCATGGGACCAGTCGTTTTCCGTTGACGACTATTCGACTGTGGTTGGAGGCATTGTATCCTCAGATCGATGACGATACACCGGATTATCATATTGGCCGGTATACGAGGTTGCTGCTACTGTTGTTGTTTGAAGGGATCTTGTTCCCGAACACTTCGGGGAACCTAGTCAGCTTGAGATTTCTTCATCATCTTGAGCGGTTAGATGATTTACCCCAGTACAGCTGGGGCTCTACTGTTCTCGCCTACTTGTACAGATGCATGTGCCGGGCGAGTATGGGCACCCAGTGTGAGGTTGCTGGATTCTTGCCGCTACTACAGGTGACAACATATTCGAATACTCTATTCATTTTAACATACCTAGTAAAAATATATCTTAAATTTGACGTCAAGTTTTTATGTTAGGTTTGGGCCTGGGAGCGGTTTCTGCAGCTCCAGCCACCTCTACTACCATTAGATCCGGTTGTACCACCGGAGTTGCTCCCTCTATCTAGGAGGTAGGTACTCCGGCAGGGACATACGCGCGAGAACGAGGCTCGACATAATCTCTTCTTGTGCAGAGATATATTGGATTTGCTGGATAGCGCACAGGTAAATCTATATCTAAGTTTACTTGTCATTGCTTCAAACACAAGTTGCGTATACTGACATTTTCTGTTCTTCCTTAATAGTTCATCTGGACGCCGTACAACGACGCGGTGATAGCTGGCTTTCCCGATTATTGCTCGGCCGACCGACTTATGTGGGCCGCTTCCGTCACTTCGCCAGTTTGGCAGGCCGCAGCTTGTACTGACAACGCCCACCTGGGAGACCACACATTACCAGCGGGATGATCGTACCAGGGTGGACGACGTATTTTTGGCATGGCTACAGGATCAGATATTTACATGGACCGGCGAGCTGACCTGATTCTGCCCCCCCCCCCTTTCAGCAAGTCAGCAGGATACTGAGCATGAATATATGCCCTGGTACCGCGGTGTTACCCGACTTATCTTCGGGAATCCCGTTCATCGAGCTGGCGGACGGTGCGTTCCATTCGTCGGGAGGCACGAGGCACTGGTATGTTATTTGGTATTCTTACTTATAACTGTGATATAGCGTTCTGTAATTTATATTTTACATGTTGTGCAGGCTATTGGTCTACATTTAGTCCACCAGTTGGGACTGCAGATGCAGCAGCATGCCGGCGATCCTGTGGTCGCTTTGTAGGAGTATGGCCGGCAGTTTACAGAGCTGGCTGCCCGAACACTGCACGAGCCAGAGAGGACGAGCGCTTAGATCACGACCCTGCTTAATACTCATTAAATGCTGTATCTGGGCTCTTTTTTGCTGTCAGATTCATTCCTTTGTCTCTTCTCGATCTTTGACCTTTGAATATCTTGAATAGGTACGAACGTCGAATTATTTGTATGACTGCTCGTGCCTTCTTCATTTAACTTGCTCGTATCTGTTGTTGCTCGTGTCTGTTAACCAACCTTATTTCTTTGACTGTTTGACCAATCTAT